ATCGAAAAGAGCAGAAAGAAAGTCTAAAATCATGGGCTACTAAGTTAAAGCTCAACTTATTTCCAATCTTTATAAGTTATTTATGTGAGGATTGATATCTATTTGTATCTAAATATGTATCGTTTAAAATGATTAAAAATCAGAGTTCTCTTGAATATATCGACCAGTTTAATCATATATAATATCGTTTTGGAAAACATAATCAAAATATAAAAAATGTATGTGTTTTTGAAGAACTTAACAATTTTATATTAACTTTCTAGTCCTTTAATAATCTAAAGACTATCGTACCGTTTATATGAGTATTGCTCTTTATGCTTATTTTACATCTGACTGCTTTTTATGCTGTACCAACCCTTCCTTCAATGGCTTCATTAATCTGCTTACTTAAAGAATTTTCTCCTTTTGTTGTACTTGCTTACCCATTGCTTCCATTGCTTCTATCGTTATCGATATTTTTCTCACTGTATGGCAATTTCAGTGACTTTTGCAATGAACTGCTTACATAAAATATATATACATGGAAAAAAAATGGAGAAAAAATTGCTTAACAATTTTAACTGAAACTCACACACTTGACTGGACATGAAGCAACTTTTAAAAGAGTTAAACTTTTTCTTCATATTTTGATTATGTACCGACCTACGAGACTGTACGGTCATACTTAAGTAGACTCAAATGGATTAAACGTTTTATACATTTCCTATGTCTACGTATTGCGACCAGATGCATTTACGGGGGATAACAGTTGTGGGGGATAACATTTGCGGGGGTTACATTTGCGTAATGTTATGGGTAAACGTATAGACTGTCATACCGAACTAACTTCGCTGAAATTGCTGTGTATTGTTTTCAGATAACTGCACCCACATAAAATACCATATAGTATAATATACATTAAAGAACATTTATAAGTCGGCAGACATTTAATTTTATTGCTTCAGTTAAAATGGCTGCGACATATTAGTAAATGAAGCAGAGTGACAACATTAAAATTCCTTAGCGAGTTTTGCAGTTAATTTTATATTAAATTGCTGTCTTTTAAATTTCTTCATATATTAATGAAAAAATTTTAAATTTAATATAATTTTCAATAACTTTTATTTGCTAGTTTAAAGGAAGAGTTTTTTACTCTGAAATGTGATAATGATTTCAAGTCATTCCCTCCTGCTTTTAAATTTTAATCTTTGTATGCGCTGTGTTTCCTACCCGCCTGTTGTTCTCATTAACGGTTTTTAAACAAAAACTTAATTTATATTAATTGAAATTTTGTGGTATCGTATATAATTTAGGTCAGTTGAGGTTAATTGACTTTGCTGCCTCATTAAATTATATATAAACAATTTTAAATGGTTATTAAAATGCCATTTAATTCGCATATCTATGTTAATGTGTTTTTCACTGACACTTTATTTTAATATGTTTTCATTAATATGCATAATTACAATAATGAATATAGGTATGCATGATTTAATAATTATTCAATTTCAAAGATCAAAAATCAACATTTTCACTCACCTTTAAAACGTAAGGGTAGCTTAATGATAAACCAAATTTGTTGTGGTTTTTTTTTAGAATTGATGAAATTGATACCTGAAAATCAGATAAGAAAATAAAGTAAGTATATCTATTTATATATAAAAGAAAATGTAATTGTAAAAAATCGTAAAAATAAAATGCTGGTTTATTTTTATACTAATATATATATTTAAACTATAAACACTGAAGCATGAAACCATATGGTTTCGACAATCCCGAACCCCGAATCTTCTTTTATTAGAATCTTTTTATGAAAGGTAACAAAAAGTAGACAATAAAAAATAAATAATATTAAAATGTAAAAATTAATGTCGTTTATTACATATAACTTATCACAAAATTCTCAAATTTAATATATATAGATTCTCATAGACTTGAGCTGCTATTCTATTCTATTTTTAATGCAGTGTTGAAGGCTCAATATAAATAGTAATGGTAGCAAAAGTTTGAATGAATTAGTGAGTTCAAAGTGCCTAGTGTGGCACTTACACAATAATTATAAACTGGACCCAATTAAATGCCATCAATACTACCCTAAAGAAAAGACATGGGTTCATGTAAGGTTTCTTTAGAATTGACGCATTGCTCTTATCATTTTGAAAGTGCAAAATTATACATATTATATGAAAATTGTTAGTATAAATAAACGTATAAAAATTAACTCATTGAAAAAGTGTTTGTACCGCTCTAAAATTAAGCATTACATTTGTTCTAAAAAGGAATTCCCGAATTGCTATATACATCACAAGTTCCTGAAGGAAAGACATGTAGAGAGTTTTGGCCAAAAAATAAGCAATATAGTCAAATCAAAATCAAATTAAAACTTACTGAGATCGTATTTCTACAATTGAATGAACTATATATAGTAACAGAGTTCATTTTTACTCTTAAATGTCCGTTTCGCACAATTTGGGCAAGGAATAGAGTAAATATGAATATGAGAAATATTAATTGCGAACACTGTCAATTCCAAAAACTAGAGAATAAAGTTAGAATAAACTTAGTTCGCCATGTCATTATATAGGCCGGTTCATTAATAAGTTGGAACTTGCAAACAGACAAAACGATACTAGTATTCACGGACTCAGATTCAAGTATTTCAGAGACTGCTTTATGAGTTTATTTTATTTCAATAAGTTAGTGCTAGTTACATGTAATATTATACAGAGCGCGTAGCAAATTCATATTACAAGGACCTAATATTCATTCATAATATTCATTTGTTGGGATATTAATATTTAAAGAAATTAAATTTTTAAGAAAATACTTGCAAGTTATTTTTGATGCGCCAAATGGTTTATTACACTCATTATTGCTATGTAGATGATACATTATTATTAATCGTTTACTACATTATAACTCATTTATTGATCGTAGAGGGTTTTAAAACACAACTAAAGTACTCATTGTACAAGAAATAACTGTTCCAGTAATAGCCATTGAACCAAAAAATAAAAGTTTTAGTTTTTCCTAATTCCTACAATATTACTCACTTCAAAAACAAGCCTTCGCCTGAAATTTATGAAATTAAACTCAAAAATAAAAAATAACTCTTACAGGAATAACCAATGAATCACAAAACAAAACAAAAAGAAAATAAAAAATTGTTTCTTTAATTTGCAAAATGTCACTCATATTAAAGAGTGTAACAATGCCGATCTTAGGTTTGGAAGAATCAAACATACAGGTGTTTGTTGCGTGGTTAAAAAATAGGATGTCGAAAATTTGTATATTACCCTGTATTTATTCCGTTATAATAAATGCATTTGAGTTGTGTTTCATATTAAAATAGCACTCAAATATCATTAACTATAAAAAGGTATGTGAGTGGCGTCCGTATTGTGTAAGCGAAAAGGCTTAAAACTTTGCTAACATTTCAGAGAAAGTTAAATTTTAAAATTTTCTAAAAATATGAAAATTAAATATTATAAAAATATATACAACAAAAAAAATTTATAAATGTTGGTTTAATGTTAAAATACAAATAAATAAATAACTCACTTGTTGCGTAATAATGTTCATAACCTAACTTTTGACGTGTGTTTCAGTTTAACTTATTTGAAACTAATGAAAAAACTATTGTTTTAAAGTGAAATAAATCAAGAGAAATAATTACCATAACAATTAGAGTTACGATAATTATATAATTACAAGAGTAGTAAATGTCTTTGAACAAAGACACTATTTCATAAAACAAGTAAATTAAAGTGTGATATCAATAAATGTAATATAATTAAATAATTAGTTGTAATAATATTAAATTTAAATTTATGAATCTTAGTTATAATTATCTGATGAAATTTTATCGAATTTTGTTTTCCTAAATCGGTTTAATCTATTAGTGCCAATAACTGTTAAAATATATTGTAACAACAACAAATATATTATTTACGTAAAGAAATCATTTAATAAAATTGTAAAATATATATTCAGTTTCAAGTGAATCCAAACGCACATAAAAAATAGTCAAAACGGGACATTAGTGTGCAACATAACACACAAAAAAGAAAAACTAAAAACAATGTAAAAAAACAACAACAAAAGCGCACTTAAAAATAGAAACAATAACAAATAAATTGAAAGGCAGTCGGTGTCATTATCAGTACTCAAGTAAGTTTAATATAAGTATTTTCTACACATATTTCTGTGTTAGTATGTATTAGGCTACAATTACATATACATGAAGTCGAAATTACACTGTCCCGTAGATTAAAAGAAATGGTATAAAATCATCAAAATACTCTCGCCAATCGATTGGAAGAGAGGAAATTGAAGTTTATATTGTTACTGCGGTTTTTGTTATTGTTAAATTATGCATTATTGTACGTTAAATAGAGTATTTAAAATCAAATTCCATATTCAAAGAACAGTTGAACAATTAAGATAATTTTCATATAAATTTTAAAATATTTTTCACAGCACAATAATAGTATCAATACTTATTCAATTAAGATAATTTTCATATAAATTTTAAAATATTTTTCACAGCACAATAATAGTATCAATACTTATTCAAGGAATTTCTATTAGATTTTGAGGATAAATTATAATGGAACAATTTTAAAAATTCGTGAAATATATAATTGTTAAAATACTCATTAATTTTTTTAATTTAATTTTAACTCATTAATTTTTTTATTTTCAATTTTTAAGGAATATTATGAATATTATGATATTATTAATGAATATTATTCTTTATGGAAAGAAGTTGATTTGTTGTCTGCAGTTTTATTGGTGTTTAAACTTCGGGTCATCCGTTCTTACAGCCCTAACTTCAGATCTACTAATTACTTCTGACAATAAAAGAACATTACTATCACAGAAATTAATAATAACTGAATTGCAAAGTGTTTATTAATTAATTCATAAATTATTATTAATTAAATTAGATTTCTAAAATGTCAATACAAATTAAAACAAATAATTCTGAAAATCTTAATAAATTTTAATGATTCAAATACTAGCACAGTAAACTATAACGTTTCCTAAAGTAAGCACTGATTATAAATAATATAATATACTATTATTACATTCTACTATTTATATGTTGTATAAAATATCGATTGTATAAATTTAAATTTACGAATTCCATTATTTACTCTGCAGCTATATTGGCTAGGCTTTAGCTAGATTTTAATGTTCGAATGCAAATGGGTATTATTTTCGAATTTTGTTAGTAAAGCTAGGAGTTTGTGCAAAAATTCTTGCCAAAGTTTAACGAGTAGAGATACAGGGTTAAGTTCTAACAAGATAATACATATATGTACTTACTGTTAGTCAGTTTTCTAAAGTTTTCTTAAAAATGATCTTGATAAACCTTCGTTGAGAAGAATAATACGCACAAAATATATATATACTTCAGAAAATAGTATGACAGAATAAAATTTTCTTTCAATTTAAATTGAAACACAATTTTATCAGTTAAAATGTTTTTCAGAAATATTTCATTTGTTACTTAATTTATTTACACAACATACTGCGTTTATGAGAACAAAATTTACAATTTTCTTAAACAAATTTTACATATCACTATGTACATAAAACTATTTTCAAAGTTTCTTTTTAGTTTTCAATTTTATTTTATTCAAACAAAATATAATAAGTAAAATTTTAGTATATATGTACAATATGTTTTTATTTGTCATTAACATGTAATTCAAAGATGGCAACACCAAACAGTAATTTCCGCATTTCTTTAAGACTAGGTTTTGCAGGCAGTCAAATCACAATTGGCAATTTCAGCTTGCTATTACCATTTTGATACCTTTTGGTTGCGCATAAGGCAAAAAGGTTATGTGAGAAAGTTCTGACATTTTTTAGTGAGTACTACTATTTACAGTGGTACATCCTTTATAGGGTTAGAGAATGTCTCATTACCGTGATCAAATTAAATTGTATTTTTTTCCCTCTGTATGTCAAAATTTTAAATTTCAGAAACAGTCTCACATATCACGTTTATTTCAGATATTAATCGTTGTATAAATGCGTGGTTGTTGAAAGTTGTAATTGTTAAGAAAATTATAATTACAAGCCTCAGAAAAATATAGTAACAAGTTAATATATGGAGGTAGAAAATAACTGGGATTTTTAAGAATTACTATCTTTGTTATATCGACGGGGTTTTATATATCAAATAAGTTACTAAATACCAATTTGAATAGTTTTAAAAATTTTTTGACTTCAACCAAGTTCCGTAGGAAAAATTTTTATGACTTTGTAAGAAAACTTTCATTTTGACATTTTTTTAAATTTTCTGTTAATTTACAAATAATTCGTCAATAATGCGTCATGCTATCTACATATATAATACTGAAATTGGAGCTACCGTCCATATTATTTGAATTGGAATTACATGACTTAGAATTATATCAGGACTATGAATATTAAAAAATTTAAAACAATTTATCATCAATCTGATAGAAATAGCAGGATGAATACAACGATAGAAGCAAATCATAGGCAGTCTTCGCTGAGTATGAAACTAATTAGAAACAAAAGTATATTTGTGTTTTAGAATACAC